GAGGAACCCTGGTTGAGAAAGGCTGCTTTGGAGGAACCCTGGATGAGAAAGGCTGCTTTGGAGGAACCCTGGTTGAGAAAGGCTGCTTTGGAGGAACCCTGGTTGAGAAAGGCTGCCTTGGAGGAACCCTGGTTGAGAAAGGCTGCCTTGAAGGAACCCTGGTTGAGAAAGGCTGCTTTGGAGGAACCCTGGTTGAGAAAGGCTGCTTTGGAGGAACCCTGGTTGAGAAAGGCTGCTTTGGAGGAATCCTGGTTGAGAAAGGCTGCTTTGGAGGAACCTGGTTGAGAAAGGCTGCTTTGGAGGAACCCTGGTTGAGAAAGGCTACTTTGGAGGAACCCTGGTTGAGAAAGGCTACTTTGGAGGAACCCTGGTTGAGAAAGGCCGCTTTGGAGGAACCCTAGTTTGAGAAAGGCTTGCTGGCACACAGGAGAACCGCATGTCGTCAGATTTATTTTTTTACTTTACCTAATTGTTAGCATGATGACACTGCTTACTTTTGTGAGGTAATGCCCCTCATGGCCAGACACCCAAGTACTGCATCGGACCCCATACTGGAAGGATAATGTCTTTTCACTTGTCAATGACACCTGTCCCATCAGTAATTTTGAGAGAAATAATGTTGAACACTGATTTTCATGCACCAGTTTCTTTACAAACATTATACTTTATTTGCTTCAGCCCAAAGGCATGGAGGGAAGCATTTGTATACAGCGTTGTACCTCATGGGGCTTCGTGAGTCACTGATCCACCCCTCCAAGGTTAACCCTGCCATTAAGGGTAGACCATAGAGTCACTGCCCCCTCCAAGGTAACATTAAGGGGTAAGCCCAATTTTCACTGCAACACTACACCTCCACGTGCTATATAAATGAAAAAGTCCAACAATTTTGAAATATTTTTTTTTTATATTATTTTTTTTTTTAACATACTGTCACCCTAGCAGTACAGTGTCACCATAGTGACACTGTACTACTTGGGGGGTGATGAAGATTTTTTTTTTTTTACACACTGATTGCTTTTACACCCATAAAGGCTGTAAAAGCAATCATTTCTGCAGCCATTGAGAAATACTGTGAGAGCTGTGATTGGTCACAGCTTGTCACATGGTATGAGGCTGTTGTGAATAGCCCTGTACCATGTGACCTCTGTGATCATTCACAGATTTCACAAGCAGTCAGGAAGTGACATCTTGCTTACTACTATTCATGTGAACACTGATTGGCCAATCAGGGATCACATGAATCGGGACCTCACACAGAGGTCCCGTACAGAGATCCGGGCATCGGATCGCGGTGCTGCGCGCTCCCAGGGAGCGTGCACAGACTGAAAATACGGGCGCCGTTTATGAACAGCAACCCGCTACTGTTAAAGCCATATTTAACCCCAGAGCAGAGGCGGACTGACCATTTGAGCACTCGGGCACTGCTCGAGGGCCCTGGGGTCAGTAGGGGGCCCCATGAAATGCCCCTGGTACTTTTTATAGGCTTTTTTAGGTGTGCTTTGAGGGTGGGCAAGGACACAGGGGCCCCATGATCCTCTATTGCCCAGGGGCCCCATGAGTTGTCAGTCCGCCCCTGCCCCAGAGTATACATTTATTATGTTGCAGCTGACCAATTCTTTGATGTGATGGCTGCATTTGGCTTTCTTTCTTCTGTTTTCATCTGGCGATCCAGCCAGTAAATCTGTTACTTTTCAACAGAACAAGCTCGCCTACAGATGTAGCAATTACAGGTTTGGAACAAACCATTTACCGGGTGGCGCTTCCAGGGGCGCTTACTATGATCATTGTTTATTTATTTGCATAAAACCTTCATCCCAAAAGGAAAATAAAAGCTGTTTCCTGTAACTTTTTATAAAGTGTGAGCTGGAGTTCAGCATTAGCTTGTTAGTGTATCTAAATCTGCTAGTCCCCCTCTCCCCCCAGACTGACAATGCTCTTGTCCAAAGGTTTCTCATCCAGAGTGGGGGGACTCTAATACAGGAGGTGTGTTACTGGCCAGATCACCTGGTAAAAACAGAGGGGGAAAAAGCCTAAAAAAAAGAAAACGAATGCAGCCGCCACATCTAAGGATTGGTAAGCTGAAATCTATGATTTTGGGTTTAATACCACTTTAAGGCGTTACAGAGAAACTTTTTCCAGTTTGCTTACTAACTCGAAAAACTCGAGGTGTGCGCACAATGGGGTCAGGTATTTTGGTCCTTGCTGTGATATCGGAGGCTCACTAGTGCCTCATTACCTCCTGAGCGCAGCGTGAGCGAATCCTATCAAGAAGCGTTCAATGTTCTCGTCTTAATTACATTGATCAATCAAACCCGATCCCCATACAGCACACCGGTAATTATCTCACAGGTGGATGGCTGCCACAATGGTTCAACATCTTATTTATCCGATACGTCATCTTCACAATTCACAGCAGGCCGCTCGGAAACGTGCGCCTATGGATGATGGCCAGTAGGTGGCGCTATCACCCAACTATTAAAAGTGTATGTCAGGGCAAACGTCAGAAGACCTGCGCAGTACAGATCTGCAGTACAAGAACATTTCCTTGTGTTTTATTTCTTACCCACTTGACCTCCAGAAGGTTTTACCTCTTCGTGACCAGGGTAATGTTTTTTGCTATTCAGCACTGCGTTACTTTAACTGGCAATTGATCGGTCATGCAACGCTGTACACAAATTAAATCTATATTTTAATACAGGTAGCTATATAGTGCCATCAATTTACACAGCATTAAAAAGAAAAAAAAAAAATATATATATATATAAACACACACACATACAGTTAGGTCCATATATATTTGGACACAGGCACAATTTTAGATTTTGTCAGGTATTCACCAAAACATATTCAAGCTCCAGTTATATAATGGATATGGGCTGAACGTGCGCACTCTCAGGTTTAATTTGAGGGTATGTACATCCAAATTGGAGGAAGGGTTTAGGAATTACAGCTCTTAAGAGTAGCCATCCCCCCTTTTTCAAGGGACCAAAAGTAATTGGGCAGTTGAATATAATCATAAATAAAATGTTCATTTTTAATATTTTGTTGAGAATCCTTTATTGGCAATGACTGCCTGAAGTCTGGAACCCATTGACATTACCAAAGACTGGGTTTCCTCCTTTCTGAGGCTTGGCCTGAAGTCTGGAACCCATGGACATTACCAAAGACTGGGTTTCCTCCTTTCTGAGGCTTTGCCTGAAGTCTGGAACCCATGGACATTACCAAAGACTGGGTTTCCTCCTTTCTGAGGCTTTGCCTGAAGTCTGGAACCCATGGACATTACCAAAGACTGGGTTTCCTCCTTTCTGAGGCTTTGCCTGAAGTCTGGAACCCATGGACATTACCAAAGACTGGGTTTCCTTCTTTCTGAGGCTTTGCCTGAAGTCTGGAACCCATGGACATGACCAAAGACTGGGTTTCCTTCTTTCTGAGGCTTTGCCTGAAGTCTGGAACCCATGGACATTACCAAAGACTGGGTTTCCTCCTTTCTGATGCTTTGCCTGAAGTCTGGAACCCATGGACATGACCAAAGACTGGGTTTCTTTCTTTCTGAGGCTTTGCCTGAAGTCTGGAACCCATGGACATGACCAAAGACTGGGTTTCCTCCTTTCTGAGGCTTTGCCTGAAGTCTGGAACCCATGGACATTACCAAAGACTGGGTTTCCCCATTTCTGATGCTTTGTCAGGCTCTAACTGCAGCTGTCTTCAGTTGTTCTTTGTGGGTCTTTCTGCCTTTAGTTTTGCCTTCAGCAAGTGAAATACATGCTCAATTGGTTTGAGATCAGATGATTGACTCGGCCATTGCAGAATATTCCACTTCTTTTCCTTCAAAAGCTCCTGGGTTGCTTTTGCAGTGTGTTTTGGATCATTGTCCATCTGTACTGTGAAGCGCTGTCCAATCACCTTTGCTGCATTTGGCTGAATCTGGGCTGACAGTATATCTGTAAACACTGCAGAATTCATCCGGCTGCTTCTGTCACATCATCAATATACACCAATGACCCAGTGGCACTGGAAGCCACGCATGCCCATGCCATCACACTGCCTCCACCATCTTTTACAGATGATGACGTTGTGTGCTTTGGATCATGAGCTGTTCCAAGCCTTCTCCACACTTTTTTCTTCCCGTCATTCTGCTACAGATTAATCTTAGTTTCATCCGTCCAAAGAATGCTTTTCCAGAACTGGTCTGGCTTTTTTAGATTTTTTTGGCAAAGTCTAATCTGCCTTTTCTATTCTTCAGGCTTATGAATGGTTTGCACCTTGTTGTGGTGATCCCTCTGTATTTGCTCTCGTGAAGTCTTCTCTTGATTGTAGACCTTGACAATGATACGCCCACCTCCTGGAGAGTGTCCTTCACTTGTCTGGATGTTGTGAATGGGTTTTTCTTTACCATAGACAGGATCCTGCCATCATCCACCACTGTTGTCTTCCGTGGACGTCCATGCCTTTTTATGTTGCTGAGCTCACCAGTGCGTTCTTCTTTCCTCAGAATGTACCAAACTGTTGATTTGGCCACACTTAATCTTGCTGCGATCTCTCTGATGGATTGGTTTGGTTTTTGAAGCCTTACAATGGTCTGTTTCTTTTTCATGGACAGCTCCTTTGAACACATGATGTAGGTTCACCGCAATAGATACAAATGCAAATCCCACACTTAGAATCAACTGCAGACCTTTTACCTGCTTAATTGATGAAGAAATAATGAAGGAGTAGCCCACACCTGGCCATGAAACAGCTTTTGATTCAACTGTCCAATTACTTTTGGTCCCTTGAAAAAGTGGGGATGGCTACTCTTAAGAGCTGTAATTCCCACTACCCTGTACATACCCTCAAATTAAACCTGAGAGTGTGCACTGTCCGCCCATATCCATTATAGAACTATAGCTGGAATATGTTTTGGTAAATACCTGAAAAAACTAAAATTGTATATATATGGACCACACTGAGAGACAGAATAGCAACAAAAAAATTCTAAAGAAATGCATGCCTAACAAATTATGCACTGATTTGCATGTTCATGAGGGAAATATATTACATATTTGTTCTGGGGTTTATATACACTTTAAAGTGTTAATAAACCCCGGACCCTGCATTCACTATAATCCGGTCTCCCCGGACCCTGCATTCACTATATCCGCTCTCCCCGGACCCCACATTCACTATATCCGGTCTCCCCGGACCCTGCATTCACTATATCCGGTCTCCCCGGACCCCTGCATTCACTATATTTCCGCTCTCCCCGGACCCCACATTCACTATATCCGCTCTCCCCGGACCCCCGCATTCACTATTCACTATTCTCCCCGGACCCCGCATTCACTATATCACTATTCTATATCCGCGCTCTCCCGGACCCTGCATTCACTCTCCCCGGACCCAGCATTCACTATATCCGCTCTCCCCGGACCCTGCATTCACTATCACTCTCCCGGACCGTTCATCACGGTCTCCCCGGACCCTGCATTCACTATATCCGCTCTCCCCGGGACCCCACATTCACTATATCCGCTCTCCCCGGACCCTGCATTCACTATATCCGCTCTCCCCGGACCCTGCATTCACTATATCCGCTCTCCCCGGACCCCCACATTCACTATATCCGCTCTCCCCGGACCCTTGATTTCACTATATCCGCTCTCCCCCGGACCCTGCATTCACTATATCCGCTCTCCCCGGACCCCACATTCACTATATCCGCTCTCCCCGGACCCTCATTCACTATATCCGGTCTCCCCCGGACCCCGCATTCACTATATCCGCTCTCCCCGGACCCCCGCATTCACTATATCCGCTCTCCCCCGGAGGACCCTGCATTCACTATATCCGCTCTCCCAGGACCCTGCATTCACTATATCCGCTCTCCCCGGACCCTGCATTCACTATATCCGCTCTCCCCGGACCCTGCATTCACTATATCGCTCTCCCCGGATCCTGCATTCACTATATCCGCTCTCCCCGGACCCTGCATTCACTATATCCGCTCTCCCCGGACCCTGCATTCACTATATCCGCTCTCCCCGGACCCTGCATTCACTATATCCGCTCTCCCCGGACCCTGCATTCACTATATCCGCTCTCCCCGGACCCTGCATTCACTATATCCGCTCTCCCCGGACCCTGCATTCACTATATCCGCTCTCCCGGACCCTGCATTCACTATATCCGCTCTCCCCGGACCCTGCATTCACTATATCCGCTCTCCCCGGACCCTGCATTCACTATATCCGGTCTCCCCGGACCCTGCATTCACTATATCCGGTCTCCCCGGACCCTGCATTCACTATATCCGGTCTCCCCGGACCCTGCATTCACTATATCCGCTCTCCCCGGACCCCGCATTCACTATATCCGCTCTCCCCGGACCCTGCATTCACTATATCTGGTCTCCCCCGGACCCTGCATTCACTATATCCGCTCTCCCCGGACCCTGCATTCACTATATCCGCTCTCCCCGGACCCTGCATTCACTATATCCGCTCTCCCCCGGACCCTGCATTCACTATATCCGCTCTCCCCGGACCCTGCATTCACTATATCCGCTCTCCCCGGACCCTGCATTCACTATATCCGCTCTCCCCGGACCCTGCATTCACTATATCCGCTCTCCCCGGACCCTGCATTCACTATATCCGCTCTCCCCGGACCCTGCATTCACTATATATCCGCTCTCCCCGGACCCTGCATTCACTATATCCGCTCTCCCCCGACCCTGCATTCACTATATCCGCTCTCCCGGACCCCGCATTCACTATATCCGCTCTCCCCGGACCCTGCATTCACTATATCTGGTCTCCCCGGACCCTGCATTCACTATATCCGCTCTCCCCGGACCCGCATTCACTATATCTGCTCTCCCCGGACCCTGCATTCACTATATCTGCTCTCCCCGGACCCCGAATTCACTATATCCGCTCTCCCCGGACCCCGCATTCACTATATCCGCTCTCCCCGGACCCCGCATCACTATATCCGCTCTCCCCCGGACCCTGCATTCACTATATCCGCTCTCCCGGACCCCTGCATTCACTATATCCGCTCTCCCCGGACCCTGCATTCACTATATCCGCTCTCCCCCGGACCCTGCATTCACTATATCCGCTCTCCCCGGACCCTGCATTCACTATATCCGCTCTCCCCGGACCCTGCATTCACTATATCCGCTCTCCCCGGACCCGCCTGCATTCACTATATCTGCTCTCCCCGGACCCAGAATTCACTATATCCGCTCTCCCGGACCCTGCATTCACTATATCTCTCCCCGGACCCTGCATTCACTATATCCGCTCTCCCCGGACCCCGCATTCACTATATCTGGTCTCCCCGGACCCCGCATTCACTATATCCGCTCTCCCGGACCCCGCATTCACTATATCCGCTCTCCCCAGGACCCCGCATTCACTATATCTGGTCTCCCGGACCCCGCATTCACTATATCCGCTCTCCCCGGACTCCGCATTCACTATATCTGGTCTCCCCGGACCCCGCATTCACTATATCTGGTCTCCCCCGGACCCCGCATTCACTATATCTGGTCTCCCCGGACCCCGCATTCACTATATCTGGTCTCCCCGGACTCCGCATTCACTATATCTGGTCTCCCCGGACCCCGCATTCACTATATCCGGTCTCCCCGGACTCCGCATTCACTATATCTGGTCTCCCCGGACCCTGCATTCACTATATCCGCTCTCCCCGGACCCGCATTCACTATATTCTGGTCTCCCCGGACCCCGCATTCACTATATCCGGTCTCCCCGGACCCCGCATTCACTATATCTGGTCTCCCCGGACCCCGCATTCACTATATCTGCTCTCCCCGGACCCCGCATTCACTATATCTGCTCTCCCCGGACCCCGCATTCACTATATCTGCTCTCCCGGACCCTGCATTCACTATATCTGGTCTCCCCGGACCCTGCATTCACTATATCTGGTCTCCCCGGACCCTGCATTCACTATATCTGGTCTCCCCGGACCCTGCATTCACTATATCTGGTCTCCCCGGACCCCGCATTCACTATATCTGCTCTCCCCGGACCCCGCATTCACTACATCCAGTCTCCCCGGACCCCGCATTCACTATATCCGCTCTCCCCGGACCCCGCATTCACTATATCCGCTCTCCCCGGACCCCGCATTCACTATATCCGCTCTCCCCGGACCCCGCATTCACTGTATCCGCTCTCCCTGGACCCTGCATTCACTATATCCGCTCTCCCCGGACCCCGCATTCACTATATCCGCTCTCCCCGGACCCCGCATTCACTATATCCGCTCTCCCCGGACCCCGCATTCACTATATCCGCTCTCCCCGGACCCCGCATTCACTATATCCGCTCTCCCCGGACCCTGCATTCACTATATCCGCTCTCCCCGGACTCCCGGCATCCCCGGACCCCGCATTCACTATATCCGCTCTCCCCGGAACTCGCATTCACTATATCCGCTCTCCCCGGACCCCGCATTCACTATATCTCTTCTCTCCCCGGACCCCGCATTCACTATATCCGCTCTCCCCCGGACCCCGCATTCACTATATCCGCTCTCCCCGGACCCCGCATTCACTATATCTGGTCTCCCCGGACCCCGCATTCACTATATCCGGTCTCCCCGGACCCCGCAGTCACTATATCCGCTCTCCCCGGACCCCGCATTCACTATATCTGCTCTCCCCGGACCCTGCATTCACTTAATCCGCTCTCCCCGGACCCCGCATTCACTATATCCGCTCTCCCCGACCCCGCATTCACTATATCTGCTCTCCCCGGACCCTGCATTCACTTAATCCGCTCTCCCCGGACCCCGCATTCACTATATCCGCTCTCCACCCCCGGACCCTGCATTCACTACATCCAGTCTCCCACAGTACACAGAACATGGAAATGCAAGTATCATTTTATCAGAGTTAAGCAGAGCATTGGTAAAATCTTGTAGGAGGAGTTTTCATTCTGCTCCAGGAGGATGCAGAAACCCCTGACGTCTGTATGGACAGTGCTGATTGGCCCTGTGCTGATCACATGCACTCTCTCAGGAAGAAAAACAAGCAATACACACACCAAACTGAGCATGTGCAGAGTGTTTCCACAGGATATGTCTTATTAGGGGATAAGAGGGGGACACTGGAAGAAGGGGAGGATCAGAGAAGACAGGATCAAACAGCCTTTTTACACAATGCAGAGAATTAACCCCTTAGGTTCCACAGTGAGTATAACAAGCATGCTTTACTGCATCTACAGACTGATGTCACTGTGGGGGGTTCAGGAACACTTAGTGCACACCTGTTCAGTTTCCAATCGATCCGTTTCTGCAGTGCGTTTTGCATTTTTGCATATACATTTTTGATGTGTTTTGCAGTTTTTTTTCAACTTGTTGCTGAGCAGAATAAAACACAAAATGCATCAAAAACACATTGAAAACGCATCAAAAGTGCATCAAAAAGAACATCAAAAACGCATCGAAAACATGTAAAAAATGCATCAAAAAAAAGTCAAAAACGCAAAAATGCATTAATAATGTTTTTGTGCACAGAACTGTACTGGGGCGTGGTAAAACGCATCAAAACGCACCGGAAATGCACTGGAACACACATGTCCCTATTTAAATTGAAGAAAAAATGAGGGGATAAAATAAACCAGACAGCATTGAAAACGCATCAAAAACACACTGAAACACACCAAAAAATGCACCAAAACGTACCAAGAATGCACTGAAACACACCAAAAATGCACTGGAATGCACAAAAAAATGCACCGAGATGCACCAAAAATGCACCGGAACGCACGAAAAAATGCACTGAAATGCACCAAAAATGCACTGAAATGCACCAAAAATGCACCGATATGCACCAAAAATGCACCGGAATGCACCAAAAATGCACCGAAACGCACCGCAAATGCACCAAAAATGCACCGGAATGCACCAAAAATGCACCAGAAGGCACCAAGAATGCACTGAAAACACACCAAAAATGCACCGGAAAGCACAAAAAAATGCACTGAAATGCACCAAAAATGCACTGGATTGCACCAAAAATGCACTGAAACGCACCAAAAATGCACTGGAACGCACCAAAAATGCACCAAAACGTAACACAAATGCACCAAAACGCACCACAAATGCACCAGAATGCACCAAAAATGCAATGAAACGCACCAAAAAATGCACTGGAACGCACCAAAAATGCACCGGAACGCTCCAAAAATGCACCAAAACGTAACCACAAATGCACCAAAACGCACCACAAATGCACCAGAATGCACCAAAAATGCATTGAAACGCACCAAAAATGCACTGGAACGCACCAAAAATGCACCAAAATGTAACACAAATGCACCAAAACGCACCACAAATGCACCTTAACGCACCAAAAAATGCACTGAAACGCACCAAAAATGCACCGGAACGCACCAAAAATGCACCAAAACGTAACACAAATGCACCAAAACGCACCACAAATGCACCAGAATGCACCAAAAATGCACTGAAACGCACCAAAAATGCACCGGAACGCACCAAAAATGCACCAAAACGTAACACAAATTCACCAAAACGCACCACAAATGCACCAGAATGCACCAAAAATGCACTGAAACACACCAAAAAAAATGCACCGGAACGCACCAAAAATGCACCAAAACGTAACACAAATGCACCAAAACGCACCACAAATGCACCAGAATGCACCAAAAATGCAATGAAACGCACCAAAAATGCACTGGAACGCACCAAAAATGCACCAAAACGCACCACAAATGCACC